TCTAATTTTTATAGCCTGTTAAAAGAAAATTAGTCCGGTCCTGACTCCACTCCGGAACATTTATTTTTAAATTTTGACATAATTTTTTATCCATATTTTTAAGCTAAACAAAACAGAGACAAAAAGTGGATTTTAAACAACCACCTCACATACCTACATGTTGAACTTAGTCTTAACATTACATATCGCTAGCAAATAAATCATCAATCTTTAACTTTGGACTTTTCATTTTCCATCCTTTAGTACTATTTGGATAGTTTGTCATTTTTACATAATTCCATCAAGTTTTTTAACTCAAAATTCTAACTCTGCCACTTCTCATTTCCATCACTTTTTTTATAAAATCAATAAATGTTTATTGAAAAAAGCAAAATAGAGAGTCAAAGTTTGGGATTTAGGCACATATTCACTAACTCTTCCTACTAGGATTTAGGCACTGTTTGGGATTTATTTGGTAGCCCAACTTCTAATTGTTAAATCAAAAGTTGTTTTATAGCGTCTAGCAATAGAATTTTTAGCCAAACCAAACAGGGAATAAATCTCGTTTCTCACTAGTCAAAGCTTTTTCTATCCTCACTTTTTTTATATTATTCATGTAAATTCTGATGCCAGAATATAGTAATCTGATTAAGAACAAGAATATGAACTAGAAAAAGCGGATCGAATGGAAGAATTAAGGGCAAGAGTAGTACTGGCATGTATCGCATAATATAATCATTCTATTGTACCTCTTTCAGTATGTATTAGGATATACAATGTCTGAATGAAAACGTGTGCAACTGATAATTCTCCTTCATCAATTTTCCCTTTGTTATGTTGCTGAATCTGTTGAGCTGCTAATCTAGCGGCTTCTACCATAATTGGTCTAGCAACATTTTGTGCAACTGTCATCTAAATTGTTTGGACCCCCATAGTGATTTATTATTTTTGTTTGTGTAATTCGTGTCATTGTTTGAAAGTACGTTCAATTTCAGAGTCGAATGGTTCGAAATTGTTGCCTTGTGAACATAACATACAACGAACACCTTTTTCCTATATGAAACAAGTAAAAACAGACCAAACAATAGCTAGAAAAATTAAACAAGGAGTACAATGGTATTGTTCCAACAAGAACTATCTGTTTAATGATTAATATAACTATTCATAACTCTGGTTTGGATAAAGTAAAGTTGATGGCTGTTTTTCATTATACCTAATATTAACTAAGGAAAATAAAAGCAAATAAATGAATATGTTTTCTTTGAATAGAAGGTAAACTATTCAATATCAAAGCGTGACAACTCACAATTTTCACGATAATTATCACCTTTAGGACTTGTCTAGTGGAGCTTTTTCTCCTCAATTATTAACACTTTTTTGACCGTTTAAATGTCAGTGGGACCCAGTGTAAGAGCAAAAGTCAACAAAGATGGCTGATTTTGATTTGCAACGGTCTAGAAATTGATTTTTCTCCTTGAAAAGCTGCTCCAGACAAGTCATTAATCTCATTTCTCAAGCTCAATTCCGAAAGTTGTACTCAGTTGTATCACATAAGTATTCAATTAAAGATCACAAAAGATAGTAAAAAGTGTATCTCTACCTTGTATCCAATTATTGAATTTTACCATGTGGTTAACTCACATCTCGATTTGTTATAATCCACGAATCATAATTTAGTGATCAAATAATTCAAGCATTAAAAAAAGAAGTATCATCAATATATAAACAATTAACTACACAAATCTTGAGAATTAAAGTTAAATATTCAAATCTAGGTTATATCATTTGCTCCACGTAATTATTTAGTTAAACACCATAGTGGAAGAAAAAGTATGGTATTGGAATACATCACTAAATTTAAAGGAAAAATGAGAGAAGATGAACTTCTATCACCAAGAATCCACCTTCTTCACATCAAGCACTTAAAACCCTAGCTTTCTCCTCTATCCACTTGTATCTTTTCCCTTTTCCCTCTATTGTATCCCTCTTTATTTGACCTAAAATAGGTCTTTATATAGTGCATATATGGCCTTCAAATTCGTGCCCTCCAAAGGACCAAATCAGCCCAAATTTAAAAATAAAATTAAAGAAAATAATTCAGCTCGGACGTGGTAAGCAAACCATGACAAAATCCCTTTTTTCTTCCAACTGTGGCATAGAGATGGACCTCTTGACGGCGGGTGGACCGCGGTCACCTCTGCAGCTTCTATCTTGTATTTTCGTCCTTACAATTTTTTTACAGTTGTAGTCCAAATCTTCAAAATCGATCTCCTAGCTTTCAAAAGCATCCGCTTTGGTCTCCAAACCACCATAATCATCTAAAATTCATCCCCTCAACTTTCTAAGAATGCAAACCAATCCCCAAACTTTCGATAAGTTGAATTTAACTCTCAAACGTTGTAATTTTCCTCCAATTGCTCTCTTAATGCTTTTCGTTGATTTCTTGCAATCCGATCATATAAACTCCCATTAAACTCAAAATCGTCACTTTTACTCCAATTACCTTCAAGTATAAGTTTTACATACGATGACAATATTTATGCTAAATTAAGTTGTAATTCACTTATTTTGAAAATATAAATCAAGTTATGAGTACAGATAAGCGTGCAAATTACATATAAGTTGGTAATTAGTGGAATTAACTAGTGATTTTAGTTAATGCCCTAATCTACAAAGGAAACTTTCATATTGTATTTCATTGTGTTAGAAGGACAAGAAAAGGAGAGTCACATTAGGACTTTTAGTTGATCCTCAAATTATTATATATGGGATGAACTGAGAAGAAAATTAGTGTGTGCAAGAAGCCAAATGCAACTCTAAAAAGAGATAAAACCGAGAGCAATAATAGGAAAATTCGTACAGGGTTCAGACTTATTTCGAGACGAGCCATTGGCCGAGCCGAGCTCACCTTTTTTCCGCAAGTCAACTTGTTCTATGGCTTACTTTATTAATTTCGTTAAAAATTTCCTTTATTTCGACTTATTTTGTTATTTTAAAAAAAAAGTCAGCTCATGGGCGACCTAACTTGCCACTTGAGGCCCATGAACCAAAAGGAGGAATTGACCCTAGAATTTAGACATGCATGAGATGAGTTGACCCTAGTTGGCCGACCCCCTTTTTTTATATTGGAGGCTCACATTTAAAAATCTCACACACTCGTATATTTTCTTCCCCAACTGATTATACCGTCGAAGTGCGTGTGGCCAACTTCATCCCATCGGAGGAAGCCACGTGTAATTAACGGTTTGTCCAACTGTGCAGGAACAAGGCTTGCGTGGACGTGATAAGTTTTGTAATCTATTGACCACGTTAGAATACATTTTTTGGGGTCAACTGTACATATTATGGAATGTAATATCCTTCTAACTGAAATTGAATTCCTATGAAATGTAACAATTTGGAATAAAAAATTTATACAGTCCACATTCTCCATTAGTAGCTGAATCCTAGATGCAAACTCTAGAATTGTTGGATATGCAGCAGATGACTATTTCAGTCCTTGAGATATATTGAAATCTACCTTATCTGAGAAAAGTCTAGCATCCGATTTAAGTTCTTAGGATTATTGCTGTAAATTCTGGAATTTCCCAATTTTGTAAAACTTATGAATCAACGAGCTTGTAAATGATTTAATTACAAGTTTTTCTTCCCCAATTTGAAATGCATAGACAAAGAGGATATTTTCTACAATCGATATTTTTAGAATTGATTGCTTTTATGGAGATATAATTAATTACCAAAATGAGTATTTGGATTTGAATTTCCGCTACATGTTGATTTTGGGAGTAAATATCCAGTGTCATAAAATCTTTCTAATTAATTATCTTTCACTATAAGTATATTCTATTAGTTTAATATTTGATTGGCAAAGTGAAATTTTATAAATAAATATCTTGGTACTTTATTGATGCGTATAAGACAAACTCGTGTGTATAGTGCATGAGAAGAGTGATACAAATATTATAAGAAATTAACAAAATTATACAATAATAATGCATTTTAGAAAAATGTTTAATATTTTTGGTCACATATTTATTTAATGCAACATAAGCTTACTGAGTTATGTCAGAATATGAGAGAAACGTTTCTTAATGCTCCCTATTTTTTAAAACTCATTTTTTTCAAAACTCACTTTCAACCACACATCTTTCCATAAAATAATTTACAATTAAACTCAATTTTTTTTCCTATTTTTCAACAACACATTTTTCAAAAAAAGAGAGGAAAAAAGTAGGGCTCAAACAGGACCTAAATCAACGACTTTTTAACTAGTGACACAATACCTTGATTGTATAGAGTGTTTCAAAACATTAACCAAGATTAAATCTTCGTAAAAAAAAAAAATCACTATCCCATATTTACTGAAAATAAGATATATATGGGTTAAATTCACAAATAACCACCTAACTTTATACTTAGTGTCACATTGACCAACCAAATTGATTTTGTTTTACCATGGCCACACAACTTTGTACTTAGTATCACTTGACTACCCAATTTAATTTTGTTTCACAATGGCCACCTAACTTCATAAAGTCTATTGAACAACCAAAAAGAAGTGAAACTACAAGCTATTATCAGTGGTGTAAATATTTGCAGATAATGCATTGCTGAGCAGAGAGCGCAATTGGGCACGAAATTGCTGTGTGTAAGCTTGAGATTGGTCATCGGCGAAGTATCATGTCCACCCTCAAGCCACCCTTTCAGGGCTTCTTCCTCATAAGTAAAACTGTCAGCAACAACCACAAGATGTTGCATCATTTCCTACAAGACGAGTGGTCTAGTAAAAAATTGAACAAATATGGGACTTATAAACAGGGAGCATTGAAAGTTCAGTCAAAAGTGCATGCTTGAAACAATGATGAACAACAATGTAGAAAGAATTTTTTTTAACTTCTTTTACTACCACGTTAATTATGTCCAGATCTGTCCAATCCGGCATACGAATCACGCCATAAAGATCTTAGAAAAGAAAGTGGCGGGGTCGTATTAAATACTAGGGAATTAGTAGTGATACTTCCATGTATACGATTTATGACAGTAATCACAATAAAGAATTCCAAACAACCAGACGATTATTCGACCAACCTGAAATATGGGAGAGACAAAATAGGATGGAATCTGGCAATGCTTTTCGAAAACTAAACGAAAATATGAGCCTCCACACGAAACTCTCATCGGTTCAAGAACCCACCAGATCTCTGAAGCAAGATCAGGCCATCGCCTGCGGTCCATCTCACTGCATCTCAATGCTAGGTGAGCCAACTATTTTGCTTGCACAAACAGCCAATCCCCAGCTGTTGCGTTTAAAGGCATATTGGACTTCCTTTGTAATCCCCAATGCTGGCCTTCCGGTTAATAACCTCTGAAGTAATTCGAAGCATACTTTAACATAAATTTCGGATCAAGATACTTACTTGAAATGATGAATTCCAAGGTCTCTTGAATGGTTGAATCACCTTGCTTTCCAAAACTTCAAATCTGCAATTTCTTGTACTCCAATGGTCTCAATCCTGATCACAATGTAAGGGAATTATTAGCCACAAACTAAATGCCAATTTTTGTGAGTTTTCATGCCAAAATAGTGGTTCTATATGCTTTTTAATTTTGAGGATATTTCCCATACGAATTTTCACCATTTTTCTACCATCTTTTTTTCTCTCTCCATTGTTGGACAAAAAAAATTGGAGGTTTTATTGGAGTTATGAGAGATTATGGGGAGTAGTGGATTTGAATTCCAAATTCAAATCACCCCTCTAACCCTTTTGATATCTTGAAGGTCGGTTCACCCCAAGGTTGGTCATCCATGATCCATATTTTTTAATATCTCCCACTCGTACATGATGGGCTTGATCCGAATCAAAAGAGGCAACGAATGTCACACATTAGATCTTTCTCAAAATCTATCTTACAAAAATTCATACGAAAAATGGATCGTGCGACCAGTGAGTATATTAGTGTTTACAGTACTATAAACCCGTTAGGAATATATAGTAGCTCTACTAGAGGAAAATTACATCTCGCTATTCCCCAAACTTATTTTCCAACATTAATTCAAGTATTTCAGATGCCTCGAGTATTTAAGGAACATACTTGAATTCCACATCTTATCATTATATTCACAATTGTGTCATATACCCTAAATGGTTAAACAGAATTGTTCGATCGGTGAATACAAATATAAATATTGGTCAAAATAGTCTTCATTTCCTACTTGAATCCTTCAACTTTAAATCAACTGCTTTCCTAAACATGTCCCATCAAATTGAATCAATCAAGTTAATGACAACATGCTGAAGTAGCAACACCGAAATAAAATCTCAAGAGACGGTCAAAAGTCATAAGGGTATATATGAGATTGTATAAACCTCAAGATCTCACATAATGAGGAAGTGGGGATCCATTCACTCATTTACTCAATATTGGTCATAAAAGTACACATGGTATGAAACACACGCTACGATGTTTTCTTCCATTATTAGGGCGTATGCTATATCCTTTATAAACAAATAACATCGTATAGATCATAGTTCAGGTATTCTCCGATACCTAACTTGAGTTATCCTTATGTTCATTCATCCAGGCAATCTCAGATCAAGAACTCAATCTGGCTACTAAACAGGTTTAATGGATTAGCAAAATCCATTTCGATTACTTGTTGCAATCTCATCTTGATATCTCACAAGGTGACTAGATCATGTAAACAACATGATCATTATGTCTCATCTCAACATACTCCAAAATGCCTGAGGCAATTGCTCGTGTGAATGAGTTAATCTCAACCTGTTTGACATACTTTATATGTGCATGCAAAATATTATCTCATAATC